ATAGTTCACAGGTCAGAGGCGTAGTACGTTGGGCCAGTTGAGGTTATGACCATACTTAATTTTATCAGGCTTAATTAGGCGGTGGCTGCGGACCTGCGGTGGCCGCCAGACCAGCAGTGCGTTACTGGTCTGGCTTACGATTTTCTAGCTTCTTCCTCTGAGGCTGAGTGCAGTAGCTATTACTTACTGAGGCTAAGCGTAGACTACAGGGCAAATCTAGATATTAAATTTGTCGCTCGAGACGGCGTAAGATAGAAGAGGCTGCATGAAGAACTTCTGCTTATGAACAAGCACGTTTAAGCGTTGGCTGTAGACTTAAGGCGCCATGGATTTAATTCATTAAAGCAGTGAGGAACTGATCGTAAAAGTAGGCACGAATAGTTCTTAGGCTAAAAAAAATTGAAATAGAAAAAGTAATACATCGCAAATCTGTCAATTCATGTTTGAAATGAAAATTATTCCATAAATATTTAGGTGGAACAACACAAGAAGCACCCTATAGGCTATGGCTCATATTTTCGTACAACCAAAGCAATTGGCAATTTACTATAAAGAAGCTCAGGGCGAAAGCTCCATAATCTTATTTCAACTATTTGTTGATAATTTATCTTACTTGATGCAGTATGCTGTCGCCTGTCCGAAGGCGAGCTGAAACATTTCGCCACTGCAACAAGTTCACTTTCACCGAGTGTTTCATAAATGTGTGAATGGAACCACAAGAAATGTCACACACGCACTCTCGTTACGATCGCACTAATTTTAACCACCCAGAACAGTCCCTTCTCGGCACTAAACTGCAGATAGGCAATAAAGAGAACTGTAGCAAGGTGGACGAAGATTATCGGAGTCTAGGAGTTTTAAATTTCGGAGTTCAGACGCGCAGTTACTGAAGCGTTTCCTGCCTCTGAAATCTATATTTATTACGATACATTTATCGTTTATTTTACTTAGGGTTTTATTGGGCTATGCAAAACCTTTCAGGATCACGAAAAGTTCTACGTCAAATTAGCATGATTTGCATCACGTTGTGCTGATAAAGTGTGACTCTTGTCTGAACTATGAATAATTGCGTCAGTGTGACATAATTACTACACTTCTTTTAAATACTAAACGACTTGGCGTGATACTTTAGCAGGTTGCGTAACCAAATATCCCAGTGATATGGATAGACAGACTATCACTGGAATTTGAAAATGCCTTTATCTAATCGTCTTCTTGCAATCTCAGTAATTCGTTAAATGAAGTAATGTTCATTAATAAATGGAGCGTTTAAACACAGACTACGTGGGAACCACTACGGCACATCCATTATATCATAGTTGAGTTTTAGAGTTAATAAAATAGAAGTGTCGGCACTGAAGAAATAGGCTCATGGCCTGTTGCCGATTCTTGTACTTTTCGTAACTTGATTCCACAAGGGAATCAAGGAATTACACAAGGGATTTATATGTATAAGCACGTTAGTTACGTGTAACTCGGAATTAATTTGATTCCGTCATTCTGAACAATTTTAAATCCAGTTAATAATGTTGAAATGAGGGAACGCTAATTCGTTTAATTATGCGAAATATTTGTACTCACCCGGCCAAACTGATTGCACGAAACTCTCATCAAAGCCCATTCAATAAAAATGACTGGAACATTTACTTTTTACTTTATACGAGTAATGTGAATCATATACAAACCAATGTAGTGTTTTCCAAATTTTCAAACCTAACCCCCCTGAACTTATAAATTCCTCATGATCTCATCACTACCTATACAATTTTATTCACATTTTATATTCAGACATGATAGAAAGAATCGTAGATACACACCCGATTGAACCACATATATATTACTCAGCGTTGGGCAAACAAGCACACAACACTTCTACAAATATATATTTTGATAAATATTTGTTAAATTTACGCGTTTGAGACCTGCTGGCACCGGGGTTGGTTCGGATGCGTTTTCATACTTGACTGGACAGAACTTTAACCTTATTTATTTTTCATTACTGAATTTATTTTTGGTGGGAATAATTAGCTTTGTAAAATTGAGAGGAAATTGTTGAAGCTAAACTAAAATATGATTATGGAAATTGGTATGTATAAATTTAATTTAGAAGCTGTAGAATAGATTTTTCATGTTTTGGAACGATAGCCATATGAAAATTCTGTGTTCTACATAAATTGTGGGTTTGAAAGGGTATTTTACAACACTTCTCTTTAACTTCACTTCTTGTTATTACAACACTTCACTTTAACTTCACTTCTTGTTTGTCTGTCTGTCTGCTACAAATCTTGTAATCAAAATTTAATACACTTCTACTTATCCTATCGATCTGAAATCAAGTAATGCCCGTTTAGGATAAAAAAGACACAGTTTTCTGTAAAACTCATTTAATGTACTTTCTACATAGATTTTTAGGATCTCGTACAATATACTAGAGTGAGCGGAAAGCCAAAGTTGCCATACTTGGCCTATGGAAGATATACTTAGGCTTGAAAGTCGCCCTGCTCGAGGTTATACTGCACACTCTCGGGAACTTCTCTAAACTCATTTTAAAATTCTTGAATATTGAATAGAGTTGACTTTAAATTTAAGTCAACTAAGTAATAACATCATATAATTCACGAAGCAGCTTTAAAAAACCCTCTAAGCAATGAATTAACTTGAATGACATAACTTAAGCTTATCTTTAATGGATCTATAAGGCTTAAGCTTTGCAAACAGCATAGGGAGCTAAGCTTCTATGTAACTCTAGTACTTAAATAATACTCCATTAAACATAACTAAGCTCTCGGCTAAGCAAGACTTAACACCAAAACTCTCACCCAATTACCCCGCGCTCACTGATAAGGAAAATGTGGTCACACCATTTAGCTTCACACTCAAAGAAATGAGATGGACTTTGTCCAAATAGAGATGCACTTTCTGCTTTAGTGTTAATCATTCTGACCCAGTTTGGCCCGGACAAAAAGCGTGTATCAGTGGTACGCGCAGAAAGTGTCAACATTTGGATCAAATCACACATTCTTTTTCTGAGTGTATGCTGTGTATACAAGCGTAAGCCAAAGTATCTCAATCACTTGATGGCTACACGATGAAAATGATGGCTATTGACAAGCTATGAACACGTATTGATCAGTAGTTCGCCCGTTACTTAAAATATTTATTAAACATCATGTCAATTAAATCTACCGTCAATTGCAACACAAGGCTAGGCTATGGCCAAGCATTTTCATTAAGGATATTAGTACTCGTGTAATAAAAGTAATTTTGCTCATTTGTAAACATTAAATGTTTCAGCCAAGTAAAATATTATAGAAGATTATTCATGATTAACTCAATTCAAGTTAATGTTTTTCACAATAAACAAAAAGATCGCTTAGGATTGCAGTTCTACCCAATCCAGCAGAGAAGAATAAAAAATCTTCACGAGCTTCAAAAAACTCTACAGGATATTTCGAACGACAGCGATAAAAGATATTCAGCTCAATGACCATTGTCAAATTTTTCCAGTTATTAGCCCAGAAAATGAGGCCATAGGAAGGCATATTATTGCTACGGAGGGAGTTGACTACTGAAGACTCGTGGCAAAGCGAACTCTTCAAGGGAATTCAACTCTTACAGGTGACAACTGCTTGAAGTTCTCAGTTACCGCTACGATTAGGTGAAATATAGCAATAATTACTAACTATGTTTCTCCAAGCAGTTCCTTGAAGCCATTCAAGTGTGAACAAGGTAAAGGTTACCAACGATCAGTGTGATTATAACCACTGTAAGTATAGGATACGGAAAGTAGATAACCTTCTAGATCGACACTAACACGTGTCTTCGTTTTAAGACAAATTGAAATTGTTCGACCGTTTCACGTTTTGAATTTAACTTTGTCAGGTTTCACATCCGTGAAATTTAGATCAAATTGACACTTTCGGAAATAACAAAATTCAGGGAACCTTCAGGAAACTCCCCTCCAATCACTCAAACTTTTCTATGCATCAAAAGCTTGTCTTGCAAATGATTCCTAGAAGACCGCTTTTGTCAGGATTGCTTCAAACGCCCGACGTAAAAAACTGAAAGCTGATCCACATTAGCACAGAATTGTACTTCGAGAAGGATCTTGATTAGCAAGTTTTGATATTTTACAAAATAGTACAGAAGTACCGTACCAGTGGTTGCGTGAAAGAATTGGCCATTTATTCAAGTTAACGCAGAATAAATGCAAATTTCCAAATTGTAGGAGAATATAGTCGCCTTTTTGTCTGAAATTTCAAAAATTTCAGTTCCAATATATGCAGCGTGCGTGTCAATTCAGAAAGAAAATAAGGATTTACCAAGAAATTGAAACGATGCGAAAGAGAAAAGACGAAAAAAAGAAGAAAAGACGAAGAAAAAACGAAGGAGAAAAGAATATTCGACAAAAAATAGTGAGTAAACATCGTGGGTGTGAAGATCACGACCAGAGTTCGCAAAACACAATCATTATTTAGATGCCAAAACTTGTATTTAGATGCCACTTCATTAACATCTGAAAGAGACAAGAATACAAGACATTCGGATCATTCATTTAAATAAAACGATTATCAAAATGCCTAAGAACATATTAATTTGAATCAGACTATATTACATGCCAATCGAAAACGGTGACCAGGATAAATTATGAAAATTTTTTGGATCAAGACGAAAAATTCCATCTTAAATCAAAAAATCATTCTGGGCAAGCCTATAAATTCAAATTACAAAAAAAGACATAAGAAACGATCTGAATAATTTAAACAACATAGAATTGCTCTTAACTATAAGAAATTAAAATTTCGGTGACAAGCGCCTCAATCAATTATAATTATTTGTAATGTAACATGAAAAGCATTTGAAATCAAGCCAAGCACTGACAACATGCGGTCATCCGAAGTGCTACAACTAACGTCAAGGTTATGTTGAAAACAATTGTCGAACGCCACATCTTTTGTGAACAATTTTTGTGACCAGCACGCACGATATGTATACAAATAAAAAAAAAACGATACTGTTAACCTTAGGGTCGTGATGAGCTTGTCATTTCGGGAGAAAATAATTATGAATTATAAACGTTCGTGAGAATATTTTCGACCATCATCCATAAACTCGCTATCATGGTTGCAAGTATCACAAAGTCTCACCATCGTACAATGAAGAGTTGCTAAGTGCTGTTCATTTCCGTCTAACAAGCTTGTCATAACGCCAGATGATCTCTTACTAGATTAATTACAAAATTGCGTTAAAATAAGACGCAGAATCTACAAGAAATAAGTATTTATTTAAATAAAAATATGAGGAGAATTTGCACGCCAAGTCAAACATCTAAGTACATAAGCCATCATCTTTATTCAAACTTTAAAAACAGTTAAAAATTGCAACAGTTTCAATGTTGCAAATTAGGTGCAAGTGGGAATTAGTTAATACAATGGAAGAGCAATATAAATGAAAACGGAAGGGATGAGTTTTCCATTCTAGTTTGTGATAAATTGAAATATCTCTTTGACTTAAGTGCGATTGGAAAGAAAGAAATAAACGTGTTACTCCAAGTTCGAACAAACACGTACTATAACTTCAAATATGAATGATAATAAGTTATGGCTACAATTGGCATGAATCAGAATCAAGGATAAAACTCTTGATGAAAAATAATGAAAAATTATTTTTTATTATATAAAGAAAGAAAAAGAGATCTATCCCTGAAATTTTTACCGAGGACGGCAGAAAGCTTGCAATGTTCTGCACGTTCTAAAGAATACAAGCGTTCACATCATACCACAGAAAATATGACGCATATTATAAATTTGAATATACGAGTTGCTCAAAACTCCCGCCAGGCGGCGGATGAGACGGGCAGTGCGGACACAGTGCGGACATTCAGTGGACAGTCCGAAGCTACATTAGGATGAACAGTCCGGAGCTGTATGCTACATTAGTACCTGCGGGACAGAGAATGTCTCATGACCACTCCACGCTACATGTCACACTGACACCACGCTACATGGTCACACTGACTCCACGCTACATACACAACGCTAACACCACAGCACAACGCTAACACCACAGCACAACGCTAACACCACAGCACAACGCAAACACCACACATTCACGCCGCAACAACACCACCAAGTATTCAAGTAAGGATGCCCGTTTGCTGGTCAACGCTGCACGGAAAGAACTGAACTGTCTTTTGTAAGTCTGCATGCCGTGGATTAAAAATATCATATAAATGATTCAATTCATGTTTAAAAACTTTATTTTATAATTAATATCCAGGAAAAATGAGATCAAAATCAGAGGCTGAAATAAGCTGGAACCTCGAGGTTTGTTTTTCGAAATTCGGTGATAGAAGCGCGAATGAATTGCACGTGAGTTTAAGAAACGAAGGAGACACAGGAAGATAATGTTTATTAAAATTTAAGACGTTCTTCTGGCAGTAGATTTGTTGTTCTAGGCCAACACAGGGTTAGTTCTATCAGTACTGAATACCGGTTGACGATTCACAAGCGGTAAAAATGAGTAATTGAAAGGCAGTGCAATACATACATAACTCAGGACATTCACTCCACAACAGAGCACGGGCATATACAAGCACGTGTATCGTAATACGAATTATACAGGCACGTGAAAAACACAGAGCATCGCATTCCGAAAAAGTGATGAGTAGAGGGATGTGCGATGTGAAGTGGACAATGAACTTAGAATATAATGAATATAGCATGCAAGTTTTATTTCCATGATTCCATGTATTACGAAAAATCGTCAGTAGCGAGATTATGAAAAGTTTATACACCTGAGCTAGGTCGAAAAAAATACGTTAGAAAGAGACAAAAGCCTCGGAAAAAAGAAACCGACCTTTTTAAATAAAAATAACCCTTTTTAATTTTTAAAGTCCCTTACTCTCTGTCTCAGAAATATACATACACAACAATGGAAATCGTTTTAAAAAAGGTGCCTTGAAATTTCAAGTCTTTCCTTACTCACTTTCCAGTCATGGTTCTTAACTCTTAATTATTTCTCTTGTAGATCTTCGCTCATGTTCAAGATCGTTCTAAATTTTACCTTACTTCAAGTAGCTTATTAATTATTTTAGCCGTAGTACTATTGTCCCACACGGTAGAACATTGAAAGGAAAACTTCAGTTCTAAATCGTATGCTATTCAATATCAAGTAAGTAGGTAATTCGATATGATTATAAATTCTTCAGGGCAAGCAAGAGCATTTACTACTTGTTTACTGACTATAAAACCAAACAGGCAACATAGCTAGATACTAATATACTAACTAAATTTTCCGAGACATTTATTGTCCACTTAGGACCAATTTGAAACATTTATGTTTAAATTGTAAGACGTGTCCGCGAGAAAGAAAGCCTAAGGCAGGCTTGAGCGTCGCTGCAAACACAAGGATCTCCTACCTCAGTAAATTCATGGCAGTTTCCGCTACATGTATACTGTATAGTACGAATACAACAAATTTAATACGAAAAACTCGTCATATTGCCAGTGAAACTACAATTTATTCAGGAATACCTGGCTATAGGAATTGATCACAGCAAAATTAAGTGTGAACATTTGTGTAGCGATGAATGAGAATGAAATGTGCCTGAAAGAAATGAATGACATGCAACATATAATACACCTGAGTTCTTTGTTTCAGCACAAAAACGTCGCGTCACACATATACAAAAAATCATTTTGTCAAAATGAACGCATTGATCGCCAATGCTCGATGAATAAATAGCAACATCTTCAAGGCACAATTTGATTGAATAGATACCAAATAAACTACAGATTATTTATTTAACATTGATTCCAGCCGAGCGAGAAACGTGCCAATCAATATTTTAGTAAAATATCCAACAATAAGTTGATTATTTCTGTCAACAGAAGCGTTTGATTTTGAACATTAACAACATTCAAACACGTGTTTTTCTCCCACATAGCCAAGGCTTGCAAGGCACATATATAATGTACTTAGATCTCTGTTTTTTTTTTTCACGTTTAACTTCTAGCCATAACTGCTAGGAGTAACACACAAATTCTCAAAGGCGGTCATGAATGTCAATTAAATTCAGACTAAGATGTTGAAAAAATGTTGACAAGAGATACCATGGTTCATCTTTTATTTGATTCAACATAGGAGGGAGGGTAACTTTCAGTGTTTGGTCAACATTTCATGAAGATGCTGACAGATTAGGAGATAAATTGTTCAATTTGCACTAATTTTAGTCTGCTCTAATTATTATTATTGCTGATTACATTTATTTACTTTATTTTAATATATTAATTTTAATTTGTTTTTTTATTTAATTATTGATGATTTTACATTTCTCCTAGTAGCGCTCATACACAATGACTCTAGTAGTGTTGAAACTATTTTACACAGTAGCGACAGTAAGGCACTGGTATTATTTATATAAATAATTGTTGTCAGACAATAACATACCGATAGTAATTAGGCTTGAAGGGACCAGCTTTGCTGAGACCGAGGTACTTGGCTTGGTCATCACTGAGCTCGGAGAATATATAAATAATTGTCAGACAATAACATACCGATAGTAATTAGGCTTGAAGGGACCAGCTTTGCTGAGACCGAGGTACTTGGCTTGGTCATCACTAAGCTCGGAGAGATGAGCGTCGAACATGGGCAGGTGCAGACTGGCCACGTACTCGTCCATCTTCTTAGGCAGCAGATACACGTCGCTCTTGTAGCGGTTAGGGGGCGCGTTGAACAGCTCGATCAATGCCAGTGCCTGTAAGTGTGGAGTCTTTGGTGTAACATGCACGAAATATATAAAGCAGGATCTATGCATGTGCCTGTTAGGGAGGAGTGTCTGATGTTACATTCACGAAATATATAAAGCAGGATCTATGGAAGTGCCTGTCGGGAAGTGCCCAAAATATTAAAAGATGAATAAAAGTCAATGACACTTTTGACAAACAGACACTCTCGTCCTTTAATATCATTCGCAGAACATTAAACGCAGAAGGAAATGGTAGAAAGCTCGCTCAAAGCAAGAGCATTTTGAAGTGAAGCCTTCGAATATTCATTCCCAAAATATTAAAAAGCGAAGAGAGAACATCGAAAATGACTATTGATCATTCTAGACATCAACTAAAGAAGTGCAGGAAGACTGCAACAATTTGAACGCTCAGCTTACGAATAGAGTTGAATTTGAATGTAAATTTGACAACAACACATTCATCTCTCATTCGCCCAGACGAACGCCAAGACCTTCAGTAATTTGTAGGGAAAAAAACGTAAAAACACAAACAATGGTGGATCGAAGGAGTTCTAGAATGCAACGAAAGGGTCTATCCTCTCTTAAATGTACTCCAGTTAACTTAGGACACTAGCAACTTTAGACACATTAGTTGACCCGTGCACCATCATGATTTAGTATCTTGAATTAGAAAATATTAATATTTGAAGATCGACTTAGTACCCTGAAGACTGGTATTCTTCAGTAAGCTTTAGTGCTTACAAATACTTCATATTCCGACTATTAAAGTCAATATTAATAGGCGCATGAAAAACATGAAGGAGACCAGACATTTTGGAACTCGAGCTCGTAGTTTTTTTCATCCCTTACCGCAAGAAAAAAAAAACGAAAAAGAATCTCCGCTACCTGAGTGCATGATGTGATGGAGACGTTGATGGATGGCACGGATGATAATGATAGGTTGACCAGTCTACCCTCAGCCAAGAGAATGATGCGCTTGCCATCAGGCCAGATGATGTGGTCCACCTGAGAGCGAACCTTCTCCCATGTCAGCTCCGGAGTCCGCAGCGAGTTCTGTTGACAAGAGAAGGTAATGAATTACGGAACGTAAACTACTAAACTTTTTTTTCTCCCATGTCAGCTCCGGAGTCCGCAGAGAGTTCTGTTGACAAGAGAAGGTAATGAATTACGGAACGTTAACTACTAAACTTGTACCATTATGCTTTGGAATACTGAAAATAAGAGTTATTAACTCCGTCAGCCAATTACTGGCGGCTTGTGAAGCTAAACACACCAATCACGGACGAGAAATCGGACGCTACGTGCACTTCAGCGAAGTTTATTGGACGGCTCAAGATAAGTAACGTGAAACGTAACTTTTCATCATTATGGCTGAGAACGACGGATTTAAATGAATACTTCTATGGAGGATGGTTGAGGGAATAGTTGATTTAAGCGAAGCATTGATCAAAAGATATTTTCGTGCCACGGGGTTCGTGGGGGACGCTATTCAAACGACAAAGTCAACTTGCAAAAGCAACCAACATTTGTCAAGTTTTTACGAGTTTAAGAGATACTAGTGTTCAACAGCACTAATTTGATCGATAAGTTTTGTACGCATGTACAAAACTTTTGTACTTAAACAAACAAACATGATCGCACAACTTCTGTACTCAAACAGACAGACACTTTTTTCCAAAATATTTGACCAAACTCCTCTTTCCTGTACAAAACGTGTAAAAAAGGCAAAATTTATCATTATTAAAAAATATAAATGAACTATAGATGTTCTGACCACATCGATCTCAGTGTTGGAGTGTCCCATCATTATTAAAACAAAATAAATGAACTATAGATGTTCTGACCACATCGATCTCGGTGTTTGAGTGTCCCATCATTATTAAAACAAAATATATAAACTATAGATGTTCTGACCACATCGATCTCAGTGTTGGAGTGTCCCATATTGCAGACGATGCAGCCGTTCTTCATCTTGTCCATGTGTTCCCTGGTGACGACGTTCTTGTTCCCCGTCGCCGTGATAACGATGTCAACTTGCCTGATAACCTCGCCTAACTTCATCGTCCTTATGCCGTCCATGCTGCACAATAAGACAAGAACATGGAAATATACATAAGTACCGTATATTATTGACATTTCATATTACCGTCATAAATTAACAACTTCATCGTCCTTATGCCGTCCATGCTGCAACATAACAGAACATGGGAATATACATAAGAATATTATTGACCCCTCATATTACTGTCATATATAGGAAACTTCATCGTCCTTATGCCGTCTCATTTTATAACAGGAATAAAGTAAGACTGTACTTGGCTAGTGATATTTCATCCTACTTTAAAGAAACACGAATACAGTAGGAATGTGATACTTTCTCCTACTACGAGTATGTAGGGTTGGGAATAAGAATAATGTATGACAATAGCTTTATCTTACTTACCACCAGTAATACATCCTATTCCATTAACAGTAATTTATGGTACTTTTTCAACCGCAATAAAGTAAGACTATGCAAACATCTGACGCAGCCTGCAAAGTGCAGATGTGGTCTATTTCGGTAACGTTATCAACAGTAATCAATCTTACATCATCACCAGTACCTTATCCAACGCCATACTGAGTAATAAAAAAAAAATGCAAAGTATATATTTTATATGCAAACTACAAATAAAAGTATAAGCACAAGTCTGACCAGGCCTGGAGAGCGCAGATGGGGTCGATCTCGGTGACGTTATAAATAATAATTAATCTAATTAATGTATTAATCTAACCAGTAACTTATCCAACTTCCTAATTAGTAATAAAATATGAACATATATTCAGAAGTCTGACCAGGCCTGCAGAGCGCAGATGGGGTCGATCTCTGTAACGTAGACGACGCAGCCGAGGCTCTTGAGAGCCTGGCAGCAGCCCTTGCCCACCTCACCGTAGCCACACACCACCACCTGCTTGCCGCTGAACATCACGTCTGTTGACCGCTTCAGGCTGCAAACATCGTCGTTTATTGTCAGAAATAAAGCGTATTTCAATCATGTATTAAAGTATATCAATACACCTGCTTGCCGCTGAACATCACGTCTGTTGACCGCTTCAGGCTGCAAAATATCGTTTATTGTCAGAAATAAAGCGTATTTCAATCATGTATTAAAGTATATCAATACACCTGCTTGCCGCTGAACATCACGTCTGTTGACCGCTTCAGGCTGCAAAATATCGTTTATTGTCAGAAATAAAGCGTATTTCAATCATGAATTAAAGTATATCAATAAACCTGCTTGCTAATTAAAATCACGTCCGTCGAGCGTTCATATAAAATTGACATAAGGCTGCCAACGCAACATCAATTGTCAGTCTTTGAACTTATTTCAATTATATGTGAAACAAAACGAGGTTTTGATCGAGTAAAAACGGCAGATTATTTCTGTGAACTCTTGGCATTGACCACATCAAGCTGCCACGATATTACATATTATCAGTAATAGCGCTTCTTCTAATCATGTATGAAAGTGTAAGACGTGGGAATGCTAGCAGCGCGGTATGAGTCTATTAAGGTCTAAATTACGCCAAACGCTGGTTGTTCCAAGCACCCTATGGTTCGGTTCAGGCGTTAAGGTAATGATGGCAAATGCTAAGTAAGGTTTCTGTCTAAGTAAGGTTCTAAACACCTGTCAATGATAGACTCCCTGCAGGCATAGAGTCCATTAAGGTCTAAATTACGCCGAACGCTTGGTTGTTCCAAGCGCTGTAGGGTTCGGTTAAGGGAAGGTAATGATGGCAAATGCTAAGTAAGGTTTCCGACGCACCTGTCAATGATGGACTCCCTGCAGGCATAGAGTCCATTAAGGTCTAAATCACGCCAAACGCTTGGTTGTTCCAAGCGCTCTAAGGTTCGGTTCAGGCGTTAAGGTAATGATGGTAAATACTAAGTAAGGTTTTCGACGCATCTGTCAATGATAGACTCCTTGCAGGCATATAGTCCATTAAGGTCTAAATCACGCCAAACGCTTGGTTGTTCCAAGCACCCTAAGGTTCGGTTCAGGCGTTAAGGTTTTGATGGTAAATGCTAAGTAAGGTTTTCGACGCACCTGTCAATGATAGACTCCCTGCAGGCATAGAAGTTATCAAACATGGTCTTGGTGACAGAATCGTTGACGTTCATAGCGGGCACGTTGAGCTTGCCAGCCTTGCTGAGCTGGTAGAGGCGGTGCACGCCTGTAACGCTCTCTTCACACACGCCTATGAAACACGCGATACAATAACTTGAATACGCAAATACGCATACGATAACTTAAATAAATAAATAAGTAACTCTTGCATTTATCTTCTAATTTACTTGACTAGCAACTAAGTTCAAAAGTTTGCTCTTAAAAAACAATTATTGCAGAATTTTGTTGTAAATCGCTGAAGAATACCAAATGAATTCAAAAGGAGAATGCCGACGAAATAAAAAATGATTCTCACTAGAAGAAATTATTGGGGAATTTGTTGGAAAATATTACAAAATACCTACGAAGTTTACTGTACTAACTACACAGAATTATTGGGAGCAAAACAACAATAGACACAATTATCATCTATTATTAAGTTGCTTTATGCAACAAATTGGCAAAATGGCATTCAACCAATAAATCATTTGTACATAATGGATGGTTATCTTTGATCGTATTAAATATGGCGGGGTACTTCATTATAGCAACGTTAGTTCCTAAATATCAGCTTACTTTTGACCATCTTGAACATGGCGGCACACTTCATTAGAACATCTCACCCCAAATATCAGCATACCTTTAGCCATAACAGCATACCTTTGACCATCTTGAACATGGCGGGATACTTCATTAGAACATTTCACCCCACACATTCCCATACCTTTTATTCATATCCCCATACCTTTTATCCATATCCCCATACCTTTTATCCATATCCCCATACCTTTAACCATCTTGAACATGGCAGGATACTTCATTATAACAACATTAGTTCCTAAATATTAATATACCTTTAACCATCTTGAACATGGCAGGACACTTCATTAGAACATTTCACCCCAAATATCACCATACCTTTAACCATATCACCATACCTTTGACCATCTTGAACATGGCAGGATATTTCTTGATCATGAGATGTGTAGCGTCACCGCCATCGTCCAGCAGGAGGTTAGGTTGCCAGTTCTCAGCGTTGACGGTCTTGTCGATGCACCACCAGAAGTCCTCCTCGCTCTCACCGCGCCACGCGAACACCGACAACCCTGCCAGTAATTCAGTCCCTTTAACTAATCTATTCAGTTATACACAAGTTATTATCTAGGTACAAATTTTCATTTCTTGTGTACGGCAAATTTTAAAGCCTGCCATCAATTCGTTCCCTTTAATTAATCGCTATTCAGTTATACATAAGTTATTATCTAAGTAAAATTTTTCTTTCATATGTACGGTAAATTTTAAAGCCTGCCATTAATTCATTCCCTTTTATTAAACGCTATTCAGTTATACACAAGTTATTATCTAGGTACAAATTTTTCTTTCTTGTGTACAGCAAATTTTAAAAATTTTGTCTGTTATTTTTGTTTAATAAAAAATTACATTATATCGAAAATCAAAAAGTTTTCAATAAAAGCTTCTAATTTATTAAACTCTATCTTATATTTTCAATTCTATATTTGAATTTGGGAAACCGTGAAATTATTCTTGAATTTTTTTTTTGAGAGATCGAGAAAATCGTAAAAGTTTCGGCATGAATATGTTTTGTGCAGCGAGTAAAACGTTGTGAAATTTTTTAGCCTGAGGAGAATTAATCGACAATAGAAAATATACAGTGGAATTAATGAATATAATTCGTACGGGTACAACGTTGTGAAATTTTTTAACCTTAGGAGAATTAATCGCAAATAGAAAATATACGGTGGAATTAATGAATATAATGATCATAGTTTAGGAACCTTTCTCAGCCAGTGCAGCGGCGACTTCGTTCTGCGTAGAGAAGATGTTGCACGCCGCCCACCGCACGCTCGCACCAAGAGCTGTCAGCGTCTCGATCAGAACCTGTACAATCGCGGCGAATATATTTTTTATTTACCGTGAATACTACTTGTACAATCGTGACAAATATTCTTTATTAATTTACTGTAAATAAAACCTGTACAATCGCGGCAAATATTTTTTACTCGTTTACTGTAAATAAAACCTGTACAATCACGGCTAATATTTTTTAATCGTTTACTGTAAATAAAACCTGTACAATCAAGGCAAATATTTTTTTTAACTTACCGTAAGTACTATCAGATCTTGAGAAATGTCTGCAACTATTGCTTTTTATAACCACTATTATTCAATTTGTCAAATATTTTACAATTTTCTTACTCACAAATTAAACCATAAGATCCTGCAAAATTGCATCAATTAATTTTTTAATTTGCAGTTAATACGATTACATCCTGCAGAGTGGTGGCAATTATTTCATTTATTTTTTAATTCACAACTTTTACGATCAGAACCTACACAATAGCAGCAATTGTTTTATTCATTTAAATTCCAAAATAGCGCAATTAAAACCTAAAAGATGGCGGCCCTTCTTAATACTTTTCACTTTTAAATTAATAGTTAAAATTGTCAACAAAAATTTCAAAGTGCCTTCAATTTTTGCATCATTTCAATTGCTGTTCTCACAATGCAAAAAATTGCAAAATGAAACTGATTTCCCGAGTGATTAGGATATATGCGATAAAACGTTCATATACCAACGACATACCCGAGTGATTAGGAGTGATTATCATATACCCGAGTGATTAGGATATATGCGGTAAAACGTTCATATACAAACGACAAAATCGTACCGAAGAATGGCCAAGTTCAAGAGTTACTCGTACGCTACGGGGGAAATTGCAGCGTCCATTGAACTGAGATTAAGACTAAACCTAATGCGCTACGGACGGCAGTATGAGTGTTGATGTGCTTAATATAAGATTATATATAAGGCCATATACAATACTCAACACAAGACAACACAAGACTCAACACAAGACGCTGTACTCACAGCAGTCTGGGCGTTGATGTGCTCAACACAAGAGACAACACAAGACACAACACAAGACACAACACAAGACACAACACAAGACACAACACATGACACAACACAAGACGCTCTATACTCACGGCAGTCTGGGCGTTGATGTGCTCAACACAAGACTCAACACAAGACACAACACAAGACACAACACAAGACACAACACAAGACGCTGTACTCACGGCAGTCTGGGCGTTGATGTGAGTGCAGCCGACGATCTTAGCGCCCTTCAGCGGCGAGTCTTTCCCTGCGCGCTCACGCAGCGCTACGATCCCCGGCATCTCTGGCGGTGAAAAATAAATTAAAACTTTGTCATGAAAATCTACAGTGATAGGCTTTTTGAAATATTGCCCAATCATTGTTTCGTGTCATAATCTAATGAAAAATATTATAGGATTAAAGTTTTATAAGATTTTTAAACATTCAGTTTTTATAGTAATGCAAAGCAACCCGTGATCTAAAATAAACCAAATACAAAATTTTCTTCATAATAACAATGTAAGAGTCAAATGGAAGCTTAATCCTTGCCCGTCTTGCCCTATTCACATTTGCATTTGTTGTAGCATAACTGTTGAAGCTGAGATTGAACACGCGGTGTCTAACTAGTTCAAGTAAATAATTATGACTGGGCTCATTTGTATACCTGCTAAATTACTTCATCATGCACTGAGGCAACATCAACAGCATTACACATTTTTCACTGATCTTTCCCACAAAAAAAATATTTTCGCGACTTAGTGCTGTAATTATTGAAGTAAAGTACTTATTTATTATTAGTACTTATTAGTTATTACTTATTGTTTATTATTACATTATTATTATTTATTATTATTGCTTATTACATTAGTATTACTTATTGAAGTAAAGTGATAGATAATAAAAAAAACATCGTTTGTTAACCGTCCTTGAGCCACTTGTCAGGCGGGATTCCTTATGCAGGCAACTCAAGCGGAAAGGATAACTTCTTGCTATCCGTTCATATTTAAATTCTAAAGAGCTACTTTTCTAAGTTGATATCAGTTTACAGTGATTGACTTCCTACTTACTTCAAGTGTAATTAAGATTGCTAAAATTAAGCAAAATGACGTTCAAACAGAACCAGAAAATTACAGAAGCGTTGGCCAGATTAAAAGAAAATTAGTGGACCTCAATTAAGACTATCATCAGAAGCAAGACGAGCGCTGTGAGTTACATCTTTTACATATGAAATCCGAAGACAAATATAATGGAAGATTTGAAATAAATTTTCGTTAATTTTGATTTGGATACACTATCATATTCTACAGAATAGAACGCATCTAATTCGTTTAAGATCGGCGCAATAATGTCATCTGCAATTAAATTCGCGATCGAGTGAAGTCTCGAGGACGAATTAAGTGACATTCAAAGTTGATTCTCAATAATACCGAATGCGGAAGCATCGAATTTCGTACCCTTCTTTGAATGTGAAAATTTGCTAAGTGAGTCAGTGAGTCACATTCTATAAAAGAATGTCTAAGGTTCCATACGTCATCTCTTCCACCATGAAAACTTAGTCAATGTATATTTAACTTAGTTAAAGATCAGAGATAAATGAACTTGTTTTGCAATAATATTACTACTCGAAATGAAGCAAAATTAAGTCATACGTTTGACAATTTCAGCGACAGGCTCCGTGTTCAGCGGGGTCGTTTTTGTAGTTACTCGATATGTTTTAGGAAGATATACATGACTTGATATATATGTTTTAGTGACGTAATATACGTAATATATAATACGTAATATATATGTTTTAGGATATATATATAACTTGATATGTTTTAGGAAGATAAAGCACAGGAGGCTTAAGAGTAGAGGAAATATGTATGGAGAGCAACAAGATTTTGTAAACAGTACGATTTTATTAGATCATTGTACTGCGATTTCGCTTCCACGTCGCCAAAACCCGACAATAATCACAATTGATAAGAACATGTATGGGTTTAATTCAAATGTAAATTATAAAACGGAAATAAATTTCATTCAAATGAAATTTGGAGTCAAATGCTCAGCGATGTCAATTTCACGCCACCATAATCATACGATAATAATCATTGAAAAGAACGTGGGTTTGAGGCAAATAAAATTTAGAAGAAATAGAGAAATAAAGAAAAAATATAAATAGAGAAATATTTCATCCAAACCTTGCTCAGCGATGTCAATCTCACGGAGCCATAATTCCATAATAATAACCATTGAGAAGAACATTCGTTTAATGCAAATACAACTTAGAAGAAATAGAGATATAAAGAAAAAATATAGAGAAAATTTTCATCCAAACCTTGCTCAGCGATGTCGATCTCACGGCGCCCGAACTCGGCCTGCCTGAGGTTCTTGACGCAGAAGTCGGTGAAGCCGGCGGCCGTTGTCTGGGTCTTCTCGCGCGGCGATACTTCATCTTCATCGCTGCTGCTACCCGTGTACGAGGCTGCACAACAAATATACTTTCATTGAGATTAATTGTACAAGTATGTAAAAGGCTAATCAAGAAAAATTGCAAGTACATGTGCAAGTAAAATGATGAGAGAGAAGAGAAATACCTTCATAAAGCATTAATCTATGTTTAATCTGCTTCATGAAGCATGATTGTACAATAAAAAACACGATTTTGTTAGTTATTTACTTTATTAATTTATTTTTATTTTAAGAAGTCATTTTTGTGCATAAAACCACGATACAAAAATAACTTCTTTGAGCATAACTGTGTATACACGTCAAAAGGCTTAACGTGAGAGATACATTCATGATGTACGATTGTACATGCTTACGTATATTGGAAACAGTATTTGACGCCATTCTATTGGAAGGGTTCAGTTAGAACGCGACTCCAATGTTTTAATAGGTGACGATTTTTTCAGTTGCATTGCAAGTATTTCTTTATTCCTTTTAAATCTTTTATCTAAGTATAAACCCGTTTAAAACCCGCAGTGAACGCAATGGTCTTCAGAAATAAATAAATGAAAACATAAACGATAAGCAAAAGTGGGCTTCTGTAGAATTGCGGCATTTTAGTTTTAATCGAAATGTAACAAGTTACTACTTTTCTTTAATTATTTCAGATTATATAGATATATACCTAAATATAATTACTTTGACAACCTTTAAAAGTTTCTATCGCTTGAACGCGATAAAACAATCGAAACTTCAAAAGGCAGAGGTCAAGCTCAGTGCAGCTTGACCAAAGATTTAATTCACTCCACAGAGCGAGTAGAAGTTTGTTCAGAACACCGTTTAGCCAATAAATATGTTGCATGTACGGACATTCAGGTAGTTATTTCTGAATATCTCAATCATGATTTCCACGTTCAATTTACACATTTGAAAACCTTAAAAAGCTGATGTGTAGACTGGCCTCGAGTTAGCAAATACCAGTAGGGATAACTCCCGTGAAGAACAACGATATGTATAGAAAAACGAGAGGGAAATTCCAATGGGCGTTACAAACTCGGGTAAACTTACCACTGCAGGCGAGCTCTGACGCCAGTGCTGCCAAACTTCTGCAATCGCTCACCGTTTCATGGAGGACGCTGCATCCGGGTATTGGTACGACCAAACTTCCTACCAGATGCGGTAAGTGCCGGTAACTTCCAAATAGAACTTCGTTACCGGGTCAAATATACAACGACACAAGATTGAAACTTAAGCAAATTGGGCCAGAAATTACAGGAGAAGAATACAGGACAAGAAAACAGCTAACAACATCGAAAGGCAAATAAATAGTAAGATAAAGCACTAAAAAATTGAAGGCATTATCCGAATAATTATTGCATTGAGCTCAACTGTACAACGTATATCGAAATATGCAATGGTTTGTACAACGCAATGCAAGGTACGATACACACGCAAATGAATGAAAAAATAGAACGAGAATTCACTGTTGCAAAGCTGTAGTAACAATGACGAAAGAATATTTAACTAAGAAATAATTTTAAGTGGGTTAAAAAAACGGAAGAAAGCTTTAACCTTCATTTTGAAAAATACATATAATTAAGCCAGTCAAACACCAAATACAATATAAAAATAACAAGCTTTGAAAACGCTAAGAAAAAAAAAATCGTCAAGAAAAAATCCTAACCGAACAAAACATACGCTTAATGGTATAGTATAGACAAATCAAAATGAATTGTCCAAAAGAAAAAATTTGCAAGTGCCAGGAGGTGCATTTTCTTGTCCACCATTTGCTTTATATTTCTATTTAGATGACCTGAGATTGGTTCGGTAAATGGTTGTGATGCGAGGATACATACTATTTAAGGTGCAAACAAAGCAGCATTTAAATAAAATGTAATTAAATAAAATGCGTCAATATTCAAAACATGCAACTGATAAAATTGAAACGAAATGGTTTCAAAACAACAAAACATTTAAACATTTTAACTCACCATAATACTTTAAAGAAAGTAAAATAAAAATACGCAATAGAGCATAGAAATCGAGATGTAAATAAAACATTATTATTGCGTTGAAATAAATTTGTCAAATAGCATTTTAGTGAATAAAGTAACAATGAATTGGATGCGTTTATACAGGCATCCCATTCACAGCTGCATTCTGGCTCCAGTCTTGCTACGCTTGAACTATACGCATTAATATGGATTCAGTTTGCACTTAAACTATGAATTTAGACTGTTAACCAAATTACATAGTTTATTTCAACTTGTTTTTGTACATTTGCATATATAGGCCTTTAGCTCTCTCGATATATTATAATATATTCAAAAAGTCGGTCCTATTATTTGCATTAACAATTGAAAATAATAATGCTATTGCTTTCTTTGGATATTATTTAAAAAAATATTGCTACGATTTGCGATAACAAACGGCAAACTTGCAATAAAATTAAAATAAATGCTACAATAAAATCGCTACAGCAATCAAATAAAACAAATGAATATGAAGTAAAAAAAAGCGTGTGCAAATCCTGGTAACAGAAACGCTATTCACACCACGAGCAACAGAGCGAGAGATCAAAGCTTTAATATAGAAATCAATTCGTGACACAAAGAGGGCTCGTCCCACGAGATGTGACAAAGAAATATAATATCTTGATATCGGTTCATGTCCAATCAATGCCATAAATGGTTTGAGCACAATAAAGGTATTTTCATCATTGACTATAGCCATTGTGTGTACAATACTCGACATATAACAAAGGTATTATTTATAATAGACTTGTTATTGCGTTCATACACTCAAAAAAATAACATCGGCATTTGTATTATTGACCAGCCATTGTGCCTAAATAAATTTACCAGCGACATGATCAAGGGAATAACTAAACGAAGAATATTTCCCATTAACACGATACTCGGCACGTATAATCATTTTGTGTAATCTTTGATAAATGAACAAGAAATTATGTATAAATTAAAATATTACAATGACATAAAAGAAATGCATGCAAGCCAATTTTCCGTTTACAAGTCAAAATAAAGAAATAAAACTTTCCTGTAACTTAATTGATTTCAATACGGGGAAATTTTCTGTAAAATAACGTACGATTTCGCGATTTCTTCTAAAAATTAGACATTTTTCTATGAAGTTTAAGGTAAATTTTTTCCAGACAAAAAATAGCTAAATACCGTATTATGGGAATAAACCTTGATGTAAGCTCTTTAAATACTACTAAACACGCGTACGAGCATTTCTTTATAGATAAGGAGCCATAACCATGTGGGAGGAACCTTAAAATATTACAATCTTATTTACTGTAGGTACACTTTTACCTATGCAGTACGCCAAGGATTAAAGCTCCAGCAAAACTTTTTCCAGTCTAAAATCAGTGTAATGTGACCTGAGGCCGTACTATCAAAACTCGTTCAAGCACACGATAGCGGCGTTTAGCTTAAAAAGCCATCAATCATTAGATGACGGAGTTACAAACTCGTTACTATTTTTGATAATGCGGCCCTTGGTTTACGGTAGAGGCCAGGGGCTATACTTTCAAAACTCGCTAAGTGAACGTAAGTAGTTACGCTCTATTTTCTTGTCTATGATTGGTGGATTTTGCTCGAAAGGCCGTCAATGATTGGCTGACGAGCTTACGATCTCTTAACTTTTTTGAAAGTATAGGCATTAGGCCCAGACGTACAGTTGGAGTCGCAGGATGAGATGACTGAAGATCGTCGGCTGGAGTCAGGCAGGGGACGCGCCGCTACGGGTAGACTGAAGCGTCGTTTGTTGCGATCACGGAACCCGCTGGCGCTTGCCTCTGCAACCTTCTCGCTCAGCTGGCGTATGTTGGTGCATTACAATTCAATGGGAGATTTGTTAGTTGGACGATTATCGGCGGCGTGGAATTTCAGTTCATTGAAAGATAACCAAGTTGAACGATTATCGGCGGCGTGGCATTTCAGTTCAATGAAAGATAAGAAAGTTGAACGATTATCGGCAGCGTGGCATTACAATTCAATGAAAGATGAACAAGTTGAACGATTATCGGCGGCATGGCATTTCAATTCAATGAAAGATGAACAAGTTGAACGATTATTAGTGGCGTGGCATTTCAATTCAATGAAAGTATTTGCAAGTTGAACAATTGTTAGCGGTAGCCTGGCTTGACCAACTGGATGAGCAAAGGTGATCAGCAATTTTGGCCACGTGCGAGAGTTCAGAGCAACAGCGAAAAATGGGAATTGAAACGTGGGAAGCTTGAATTAGGAAAAGTTGATACAAAATTACGAAAGTTGATACAAAAATCATTAGGATCACAATTCAAGACACACGATTAGTTTCTTTCCCCAGAAAGTAAGATTATTTGAATCTTCGGAATGAACAAATAAATTTGTACGTTAAAAGTTGCATGTGTAGTGATCAAACCGTTATTACAGCATCTAGCAATATAACACAGAACTTCTATGGAACAGGAAAAAACAACCATTATCGTCTACAGTGAACAGCAGTCAAGTTTATCAATGGCAAAATGGAAAACCTGACCAGATTTTATTATAATTCAGGTTGAATTTATTGCGAGTTGTTTTTTGGAAATACAATTTGGGAATTACTCCCTATTATTATTAATAAATTTCAATTTGAGAGTAACTTAGAAATCTTTGAGCACGCTAAGCTGCCAAGAATGTTTCCCGTAACTTAGATTAAACGGACGTGAACAATTGAAAGAAACATTTATAATAAACATTATTTCAATGATCGAGTATGATTAAGATTTAGTTTTTCTTGCTTATGTTTCATTCCAAGTCTGCCTATATCTCTTTTGTTAATTAATTGTCGCATCATATTTATGTAACAATTTTACAATTAACTAGATTATTTTAATTTATCTGAACAATTTACGATGGAACTTAAGTATCCTAAGTTGACTGATCTCTGAATACTCGTGACCATATCCATATTCGCATGTTAACTCCCATATGTGCAAAAATGAGCCAAAAAATAGAGCGGATGAGAAGAAGAATTGAAAAGAATTGCACCCATGGAGGAGGATAAATGAAAGGAGTTACACACTTGGGTGAGGATAAGTGGTAAATCCTTCTCACCTTGAAGGATTTTTCCCCAAATTCATCACTAGCCTCAGCCTCCTCTGAGAGGCTACGGGTGATGTTGATGGCTGGGTGGTGGTGGTGGTTGTGGTGAGAAATCATCACGATTTCCTCCTCAATCCAGAAATTAGTCGTGAATTTTTAACTGAAGTACCAAGGTAATCTTCAGGGTTGGAGATTAGGTGAAGAAGGCAATCAATGTGGGAGCTTTAGTTACGCCAAAAGAGATGTGAGAAAAATCGATGAAAATGTTAGTGAATGAGATTGTAGATGTAGCAGCGCACGTAGAGGACTCTTGGTGAAGTGGCAGCGCACGTAGAGGACTCTTGGTGAAGTGGCAGCGCACGTAGAGGACTCTTGTTGAAGTGGCAGCGCACGTAGAGGACTCCTGGTGAAGTGGCAGCGCACGTGGAGAAACCTTAAAGTTGCAGCGCAGGCAATGAAGACTTGCTGATGAAGAAGAGCACGTAAATGAAAGCCGATTTGATGAGGTCACGTGCTTAGGGACGCCTCATGAGAGCCAAAAAGTTGTACCGAAAGACATTGACGAAGAAATTGGAACGTCAAGAATCTCTGCTATAGAAAATAATTCGATACTTTGTAAGATGTTCATTTGCTTTAGCTGAAATAAGCTAAAAGCTGTTCTTAAAGCCACAAGTATCCTTGTTAGTAATTTTCTCGTGCGTCAGTGAAGTATTGGCGTGTAATAGTCCGTTCGATAATTAGCATAAAAATCATACAACTTTCGGATGAAGATGACGTCAGACGGCGTAGCGAGATCAACCTAAAAACGTAGCAGGAGCCGACATCAAATCACCAGAAAGAGTGCGCAGAAACCCTGGAAAATTCACACTGCTTTTGCACGGTTCGAGTATCCGCTAATTTGTCTGGGCGGGTATTTTTCTTGCGACTTGTGCCCGTATGAGGGAAGAAAGACAACAAAGATCTATTTTGTACCAATGCAAGATCATTTGTGGGAGTCGATAATACATAAGATATCTACTTACAAAAATTTAGGACCTGCAAAGAAAACGCTCAATTGTTACATATTGTATCAAGATAATCCAATTGTGAATCTTATTTTATAAACAAAGGCACATACGAAAACGTACTCGAATTTTTAGTTGTAACCATCTCGTTAAATTCAATACGATAAAAGTAATAAATTTATTCATACACCATTTTAACGTCCACGATGAAAGAGTTTAATAAAATAAATGAACATTAAGAAATAGAACAAAATTATATTTACAATGAAATTTTACAAATGGCTGATAAAGTTAAAGCTGATCAGCTAGCGACAAATAAATAAAAATAAAAACAAGCACATACTGCAATAAAGATATGAAACTAATAATCGGTTGCCAGCGGAGGGTTAACTATTAGCCCCCACTACCTCACCGCGGTGTGTAGATTATAAGTTGTTTCAACAAATCAACTCGTAATATTCGATATTTCAATAACATTTGCCTAGCTGGAGAGTGAATTCTGAATATTCGAGGGAGGGAGAGTTCTAAAAGCCTTTAGGTTCAGTTTCATAGACGCTGATAAAGAGCAAGCCAGAAACCAAGCACGCTGCAATTTATAAAGCCTTGGAACATCAATGTCGTTCGCAGTAAAAACTCTTAAGACTCCGCGCACATCACAATTGAGAGAACTTGCAGAGAACTGCATCGTGGACAAAATTGAGATAATAACACAGAACATTGCTCCCCGGTTATTGCAATACCACAGTAACCCCGGTTATTGCAATACCGCGGGATAACGAGGGCAGTGCTACGCGCAAGAAAAATAATTGATAACAAGTTAAAAGATTCATTTTTCAACTATTATAAATACTAAATACTTGAAAACTTCATTTGATCGCAGGAATTTCAAGCTCTTCAACCCATAAGTACAGCAGATTTTGTAAATTCCCTTTCTATCACTAGACGATTTTTCACACTATTAATACCATCTGTGGCATCTTCAACAAAAAACTTATAAATAAATATCATAGCAAAACAACGGGGAAGTAAAGCGATCTGCGTGACGCCATCAGAGGACGACTGGCTCGCCTAACGTTAACGCTCGAGTAAAAAACGCTTTACTGTCCAAGCAATGGGAGTAAAGTTCACCGTCTAGGAGATCGAGTTTTTTAACAGGAGCTTAACCACGATAAAAGTACAAAGTTTACCGATTACGTTGGTGTAACCCTTATTGGGCTTCATAGCTATAACTGTACCGACACTTGGTACAATTACAACATTTTAAAATTTTGCAGTGCAGTTTGACAAGGGTTAGACATCAACTAGAACGTTTGAATTATGAAACTAGTTTCATAATGGTAATGAACTGCAGGCTATTATACATTCTAATTGAGGTTTTCTCAATTTGAAAAAACGAACGATACCAATTAAACATCCATCGTAACAATTCAAGTTTCATTGATAATTGCATCTACGATCATTCACTGCGGTGATCAAACGTGGATTTTTAGCATGGTAATGCAGCAGGGTTTCTTCGTAATTGGATGCCAACGATCCTTGAAACTTATTCGCAATAAATAAATCATTACCTGGAGCAATCGACAATTTTTCGCCTTTTACCGAAATGCGAAACCGTTTCTTGCCCAATAAACACTTCTACGGACTAAAAAAAATTTTTAAAGTTAAAAGTTACTTCAGAAAAAACATCACAGCTTAAGTTAGCACGAATAAAAGTTAAATTTACCGAAAATGCAAAAATTGCCTCACCGACAATCATATTTCCTTGACCGACAATCATGACAATCATATTAGACTGGAGATGGAGAGCATTTATCTAACTATAACCAAAATCCTATTTCCCTGCACCGATAACAATTTTTTCGCGTTACCGCTGAGTTTCGCAGCTCCAACAACCATATTTCACCACAGCACCGACAACCATATTTCACCGCCACACTGACAACAACATTTCACCGCAGCACTGACAACCACAATCCACCACATGGGACCAACCGTATTTCAGCGCCAGGAACCTAGCACAACTTACGCGGCACTTTGGGCTTCTTCACAGCTCCATTCATCCTTCCGCGAGATAAGTCGTGTCGAGATCGATGGCGGAGGACGGATGTAGAGAAGGGCCGTTAGCGGCTTACAATTAGATGAGGTATCACGCTTCGCCGTGGGTCTCGCAGATTGTAACAGGTGCAAAATTGGGAAAAACAAATTGTTTCATGTAAGAGAAACTGCGAGTGGCAGACTTTATTGCGAATAAATGATAATTCTTCATTAGCTACAGGGATATTTCGTTTTAATTTTAAGTGATGGCACTATGAACTTAGATTGCAAAATTTGGCCAGCTTCATTATTTTGGGAAGAAATAAGTATTCGGTGGAATTTCTATCTTAAAATAAAAACTAAGAACGAAACGCTTTCAACGGCTTAAAGGATTTAGCAAACTTAACGGAATATTGCAGTACCACGGATAACATCGTTGTTCGCGATGGGAACTTAACCCTCTACCGCCGTATGCCACTCTCTGGGAACAAACTTTCAACTTAAATTATACGTAAACTATTGAGTGTAGCAACCTGAGAACGTTTGTACGCAACAGAGAACATATCAAAGTTGTCGTACGTGGCGGCAACCATCAGTTCAAGTCATTTTGTGCTCACTAGAACGTACCCTTTTTGGGAAGTAGGCTTGTGACAATATTGCTCCGGTTACTCATGTCAGGCGGTAGAGGGTTAACATGAAGTAGGCTGCAAGTAAGCACCGTAAAGTTTCGTAATCTGTACGATGTTCGCAAAAAAAAGTTGAGCGCTAAAGTTGGGTTCAATCTCTAGCCACGACGCAAGGCTAAGCCTCAATTAACGAAGAAATTCTCTATATATAATCACTCTTATGTGCACGCTTGCTAGAGGTATCGTAGATAAATGGAAAACGTTCGATGTTAGATAATATTATATTGAATCAACTTTTTATTTCGGGATTCGACGTCGGTGAATACTACGAAAAGTCACAAATGTAGCGAAATGACGGGACTAATTTTTAAATGATAACAGAATCGTTAACAAAAATGTCTGAATGTGTAAACTAATATAACGATGGTCGGTTAATCAGCGATCACGAACAAAACTACATATGATCAAGGCAAACTTTAATCGATTCAAAAGCTTTAATCGATATAAGACAATGAAAAATAAATTTTTCGATTTAACTTGATAGTTTCCTTTAATTCTATCATTCGAACACAACGCTGAAAATTAACACCTAGCCACAATTTTCGTGTAGTGTATTAAACGTTTCGATGTTTAATAATTGACACTAAAAATTCAGCCACTCGATTCAAGTTAAAGAAGAATAACAAGGTAAGTTCACCACCACAACACAGCACATCGTCACACGAGCACCACTCAGTGCACCGCACACGCACACATGTCACACTGGCTGATCACAGGACTGCTGCTGCTGCTGTATGCTGGATACAACGGCCTCCACACCTCACTCGCCTTGAACGCTTTGCTTTAAATAAGCTTAAGATTCAGGTAGCGATGACGTCCGAGCTGAGGAATAAATTCTTATTACAACACTTCTCTTTAACTTCACTTCTTGTTTGTCTGTCTGTCTGCTACAAATCTTGTAATCGAAATTTAATACACTTCTACTTATCCTATCGATCTGAAGGCAATGCATGAATCAATTAATAGAATAAATAATTTTGAAAAAAATTATATATTAAAAAATTTATATATTAAAAAAAAATGAAAAACTAATTTTTTTAATATTCGAAAATTAAATGAGAAATTCATGCTACATTTGTAAGATTGGAGACACTGGATTCTTTGGAAGTGTTGTCTTTAAAAAGTAATTTTTAAACGCATATTATTTTAAGCCTAGAGTCGCACTATCAAAACTCACTAGAGTACACGTAGCAGTCGATTTGTCGTCTGTGATTGGTAAGTTTAGCTGAAAATCTGTCGTCAGTGATTGGCCGACAGACTTGCGAAATTTTTTAAAGTACCGCATGAGACAGATTAAGTTATCTTCACCTTAAGAAGCCATCTGCACTTTTAAATACACATATAATTCAGGAACGAATAACACCGCAAGAGAGTGCACATATTCGTCCTCGTTGCACCATCTTCATCCTTACTCGACTGGAACGCTTTGCTGCATATAAACACATGAATATGTTGGGGATAACTGAGTAATCCATGAACAAACTCACGTAGCCGAGTGCCAAGGCTTTTTCGCCTTCACTCGTATGCAATGCCGACCTATAGAGTAATAGAATTACATAGTAAATTAAATAGAAGATAAATCTGTCGTAGTAATATGCAACATCTTTATTGTTAATCTTTACTAAACAGCCTTCGCATTTTTTGCAATAATTTTGAAGGAACGTTATAATCACGAACTCTCTGCGCTCAAACGCCCTTACGTAAAGCCGAATAGATTAATGTCGTTTTTTAAAGCTTTACTGATAATATTAAATAAAAAATCAGGCCTTTTATCTCTTGAATTGTCAACAGTCAATTTCCAATGATATTTATTCATTAAATAAAGTTAAAACCATACTTTGAACACTTTTTTGACGCATAAATGACTCGTATATAACACCTAGCAGTACAAATACGTCAACTATATTGCAATGCAATTCGACTTAGAATAGTAAGTTAATCTCGCTGCACTGAAGATGCAAATATTTTTCGTTTTAAAGTCTTGTGACATCGTATGCGACTTGACTGATTGCCTCTCAGTTCAGGTGCAAGCTGTCACTTGTGAAAGAAAATAAAGTACAGGTATATTAACTGATATGTTTAGGATGAAAATACCGAAGTCTGAAAATTCGGTAAATTTATACTGATATTCTGTATGAATAACTGATATATTATATATTAAATCTAACTTAATCTGGCGCTACTGTTAATTTGAATGCACTCATCAAACATAACGGTATTTTTGCATTACGATAAATATTAGAGTAGAAAACGTTACCTTCCACGATTATCGTGCTAGGTAAAAATTATCGGTATTAACCACCTAA